ACCTCAAATGCTTTGATCAATTGTAGAACCGAGCAAATAAAACTATCTTTTGGGAACATGACTGTTGACCTTATATTTTCAACCTAGGGAAACAGCCTAGTGATCCATCTGATCAACCCATGGAAGTGAATTTCATTCAGGGAATATCTAGTAAGCAACAAGAGGGAGAGTTTGAGTGAGATTCAAGTGTATCTGACATAATGTTTGTGGAGTCTTCTGATGACGAACTAGAGTTAAATCTGCTGGTCAATCATATTTCTACTGTTAGCTGGCAACGAGAACCTTTGGAGATAGAACCTCGAGTTCAGCTTCGCCCATCTGTGGAGGAACCCCCTAAGTTAGAGCTCAAACCTCTACCTAAAAATCTAGAGTATGCCTACTTAGGAGAGAACGAGTCTTTACCAGTCATCATTTCTTCTGACTTAACTACCAGTCAAAAGGAAGCTCTCTTAGATATTTTAAGAGAGAATAGGGAAGCCATTGGATGGACCATGGCTGATATCAAAGGGATTAGTCCAACAATTGTTCAACACCGAATCCATTTGATAGATGATGCCAAACCTACTAGAGATCCTCAATGTAGGTTAAATCCAGTGATGAAAGATGCTGTTAGGAAAGACATTCTGAAATTTCATGATCATGGGATCATTTATCCCATTTTTGATAGTTTATGGGTGAGTCCGGTTCAAGTTGTTCTAAATAAATCTGGGATCACCGTGATCCAAAATGAGGCTAATGAGCTTATTCCCACTCGGATCCAAACTGGATGGAAAGTTTGCATTGACTACTGAAAACTCAACTTAGCCACTCAGAAAGATCACTTCTCTCTTCCATTCATTGACCAAATGTTAGAGCGCTTAACAGGACACAAGTTCTATTGTTTCCTGGATGGATATTCAGGTTACAATTAAATCCCTATCGCTCCTGAAGATCAGGAGAAAACCACATTCACTTACCCGTATGGAACATTCACATACTGGCGTATGCCTTTTGGGCTGTGTAACGCACCTGTCATATTCTAACGTTGCATGATCAATATTTTTTCCGACATGATATAGAGATTTTTAGAAATTTTCATGGTCGACTTTTCTATTTCTGGTGACACATTTTTCCAATGTTTGCGTCATCTTAAACTGCTCCTATAATGGTGTAGGGAGAAAAATCTTACTCACAGTTGGGAGAAATGTCACTTCATGGTCAAGCAGGGCATTGTCTTAGGACATGTAGTTTCCAACAGATGAATCGAAGTAGACAAAGCTAAGGTAGATCTCATTTCTAACATTCTTCCTCCCAAAACTATCAAAGATGTCAGATCATTTCTTGGTCATGCTGGTTTTTACCGATGTTTCATCAAGGATTTCACCAAAATTGCTAGACTCTTGACCAATCTCTTAGATAAGGATACATCATTTGTCTTCTCTCTTGATTGCCTCAAAGCTTTCGAATTTCTTAAAAAAGGAGTTGACCACAGCTCCTATCATTCATGCACCAGACTGGACCTTACCTTTCGAACTGATGTGTGATGCATCCGTGTAAAACCCTGTACATTTTGATAATTTATATATGTGATTATTAGTGAAAAATAATGTTTATTTATGATAAATGTCTTTATGTCATGGTTGTGCATGATAACTATTGTTTTGAGTTTATGTGAATGTATATATGCATCAGGTTTGAAGTTGAATTTTGCAAATTTGCAAATCATGCACAGGCAGAAATACAGCCTGTTCGGTTGACCGCGAGTTGACTGATGGGTTTGGTCGACCCTGAGTCGACTGATGGCTGATTTTAGGTTTTTGCAGTTCGGGTCTGTTTGGGATTTCGGGTCGGGTTTTAACTGTTAGTATTTATCTCTTTTTACATGAGAAAGACACCCTTTCATCAGTCCTCCCCAGAAACCCTAGCTCCCTTTCCCCCTCTAAAACCCTAGCTTCGGATTTTGGGCGTTTTTGGGAGATTTTTGGGGATTTTTAGCAGCTTGTTGTGGTTTGCAGCGAAGGGAGTTGTTCTCTCACGGATCAAGGCGTTGTTCAACACACCAGAGGCGAGTAGCATCTCGCCCAGTCCCTCTCCCACATTTTAAAGAGTTTCTAAACGTTTTTCATGAGGTTTATTGAGCCTAAGAATTATTTTCAAGTATAAATCAATGTTCTTATTAGTGTAGATGCTAAAAATCATGTGTTTCAGATCTCTAAATCCTCACCAACGAATCTTTGGTGAAACCCAGATCTGGGAATTTATTTAAAAATGAGTTTCTATTTTGATTAATTGCTCTCATACATGTTTAGGGATTTTCTATTTTGATTAATTGCTCTCATACATGTTTAGGGATTAAATATTAGATCTAACATGCAAGATTTCGCTTTCCATGTTTTATACGAATTTTTCACTGTCTCATATGTTTAGAATTGATAATATATTGTTTGGGTTTGATGAATTAAATTTTTAGATGAATTTTTGTAAAAATAACACAACATGCACGAACAGGAAAAACCCCTCTGTTCAGTCGACTGTGAGTCGACTGGTGACCCCAGTCGACCGTGAGTCGACTGGTGACCCCAGTCGACCGTGAGTCGACTGATGACCCCAGTCGACCATGAGTCGACTATCGGGTTCCAGTTTTTCTCCTTTCGGTCGGCCATGAGTCGACTGGTGATCCCAGTCGACCATGAGTCGACTGATGACCCCAGTCGACCATGAGTCGACTGACGAGTGATTTATTTATTTTTTCTGTTTAACCACCTGCTGTGAATATATATAGTGTATATATATTCGAGTGTACTGTTTATCATTTTGAGTACGAGGAGCCACCTCGTTTATCAGGTATTAATTTCAGTATTGATGATTTCATCTACACATGTAAGATGACACATTTGTCATAAGCTTAGATCTATACATCGAGACACATGCAAGAATAGGATATGTATATCTTTAACCTTAGCATTCCATGTTTTATATACATAGTTTTCGTGTTGGACTATAATCCATTGAAGTCCTCGTGTTGAACTATAATCCATTTCAGTCCTCGAGTTGGACATTCACAAATCAGTCCATGTGTTGGATATTGGTTAGACCACGAGCATGACACTTAGCTGAATTAGGACATGACATGATTATATGAAGTTGAGACATGATAGCTACTTAGGCTGGACATGACACTTATGTGGTTCTGACATGACACTTATGTGGTTCTGACATAACATTTGTTTTACGTATTGTGATAGGTTGTCTCTTTTCTTTATTGTTCTGGACATTGCACTTATGTGGTTCTGACATGACACTTATGTGGGATTTACAATTTGAGATATAAGGTATATACATGAGGGTTTCTTTCTTTAGATTATTTCGCTCGACGTACCTACGCTCGTGTTGTAGTTTCCTAAATGCTAAAACCTTTTATTTGTTAGGAGTAATGATATGATTATTCTATGTATAAATCTGTATTTTCTTATACAACGAGCCCTTTCCCTTGGGGTTGGTTGTGATGTTGCTCGCTAGCTCTTTGACGCTCGTTGTCCCTCCCCCTTTCAGGTAACGAGCCCGGAGCCCGGAGAGTCGCAGGCTAAGGATGATACTCATTAGCGCCTATTTTTCTTTTATAGATATTATTGTATTATTAGAGCTCTACTGTAGACTTTTGTTAGACATTTGAGAGTTTATTCTAGAAGTTGTAAAGGCTGTGTGCCTTGTTTAATTATTTCTTTGACATGTTTATCTACATGTTTAAAAACTTCCCTCAAACTTTTACTATTTTTGGAGTTTATTTACTGTGCCTAATTAATTTTACAAAATCGTATATGTTAACAGTTTTTCAGAAACTGTAACTTTGTGTTCAAATATTTATTTCTCTCAACTGGGAAAATTTGTTAGACATTTGAGAGTTTATTCTAGAAGTTGTAAAGGCTGTGTGCCTTGTTTCCTTTTATTCAGATATTTGTATTTGAGATTTGAGAAGTTCCAGTTTATTCATTTCAGACATTGACTTGTACTTCAGTATGTTAGATGATGAAATATTTATTTGATCTCTATTATTTCATCAGTTGACTCTTGTATTATCTTTTACTTGTTTTTGTACCTACACATGTTATTGACTCTACTAGAGAGATAGTAATTGTGATGGTGAAACATGTTATTGCACGGTGTGGTGCATGACAGTTTTGACATTCTTGGTTTTACCTTGGACTGCAGCCTTGTGTGAATCCAGGGGCGTCACAGTTGGTATGAGAGCTCTAGTTCTAGTATCCTTAGGATCATCTTGTGTCGAGTCGTGGAGCTAGGTTAGAGTTTCTTAGGATTTATGTATAGAGTCCGTTAAGGACTTTCTAGTATGAGTGAGGACGATATATGCGTATATCTCAAAAATTGAGAATATTTTTTTATGACAACTATTTTATTTTGATTAAAAGTATTTATGTGAATACTATGTGTTATGAATTCGTATGGTGATACGTTATATATATATATATATATATATCATTTCTCCTACGCATAAATGCGTACGCATTCCCGATTTTTTGGGTTTTTGCAAAACTCCATCGCGATTGTGATTTAGCAGCTCGTGACCACGTTCTTTCTCTCTCTCTCTCTCTCTCTCCCTAAAAAACTCTCTCTCTCTCTCCCTAAAAAAACCAAAATTCTCCAACACCTCCTCCTCCATCGAGCTCAAAAAATCCCTGGATCCCTCTCTCGTTCGATCTCTCTCTCTCGAGCTCCCCCAACTCCGCCGACTTCCGCCGACGTTCCCCAACTCTGCCGACAAACGACTTCCAGGATCTCCGCTGCTTGATCTCCCTCGAGCTCTCTCTCGAGCTCCCCCAACTCCGCCGTCGGCTCTCGATCTCCCCTAACTCCGTCGATGGCTCTCGATCTCCCTCAACTCCGACTTCCCCCAACTCCACCGACGGCCCCCAACTCCGCCGACCTCTCTCGATCTCCCTCAAGCCCTAAAAATAGGGAATCGGCGCTGTAGGTAAAGATCCCCATCAAGCCCCAAAAATGAAGTTTAATTAAAATTCCTTGATAGCAAAAGGACATGTATATTTGGAGCTGACAGTGGATTTTTGCGCACTAGTTATAATGAAGTTTAATGAAAATTCCTTGATATCAGAAGGACATGTAGCGTGAATAATCCTAACCATAAAGACAATTCTATGTGAGTGATCATGTGGATTTCAACTTGCCAAAGATCAAAAAAGATTGCATGTAAGAAAAAGAAAACATTAAAATCCAATTTCGGTTAACATCAGGAAAAAGGGAACAAATTTCACAAAAGATGGAATCATTGTCATTTACATTAAGATTTTATTAGAGCTCATTATGTAATTTGAGAAATTATTCAGGCAGTGCATTGAAGAATTCGCGAAGCTATTATGTCATGGGTTTCCACACACGAAACAAAAGAAACATAATAACATAAACTTAAATAAAAAAAATGCAGGAGTACAGTAGGTTCATTGCGTGTAAAACTTTAACCAATATTTACAACTAGATTACAATTACTAAAGAAGCTTTAATTCTTTCCATCAACTAATGAACAATGAAATTGAAGTGCTAAGAAGAGTCGAGGAAAAGGTATTGTTTTATGCATCTGGTTTGCTGATTCAGTATTTCTTGTTTGGTTGATTGCTAAGTACTTCTTGTTGGCTTTCTTATTGTTTTATATATTTTGAGAATATGATGATGTTGAAATGGTATTATAAATCGCAGAAACCTGTTACTGTTATATGTTTTGCTACGACCGCTTGAGGGGTCAAGGAATCCAACAGAATGTTTAGAGTTGTTGAATTGTCTGATCAGTGAATTAGATCCCCCGACGATGACATGGAGGGATTACTTCTTTAGATCTGTCTATTTTTAGAAATATTTGATCTTTGAATTGGAAAAGTATAAAAATAAGGACTTACTGTGGGGTTTTATTCTGTGCTGTTGTGCCTACGGGATTAGCTACCGCCTTGGATGTAAACCTGAGCAATGAGTCCCTTGTTTTCATATCGGTTACATTTGCGACAATGGTTCGTTCTTTTGGGTTATATATGAATGGTATATGTTGTGCATCTTCATAATCTTTGGTCTCATGTTGTTTTGCAGTGCAAATCTGCAGCACCGATATTTTTCCTGTCTATCACCATCTAGTATGGAAGAATTTTGTAGCAAATATCTCTTCCCTTGTTCTTTAAAATAGTTGTGAAGAACAAGTACTTATTTCATGATCTCTATGTTTCATCCTTGCTTGATTGCCAAGAAAGTGGAGAGATTACTGTATGTTTGATTAATGTATTGTCTATAATGCTGCTCAATCTATAATGCTGCTCATCTTTTATATAGGCCTATGGCATGGCTGCTAACAGGAGATCTTTATGCTTCAAACGACCAAGGTGCCATGTGTACTCATCCTCTCTGAGAGCTTCAAACTGAGCTGCTATCTGCTCTTGAGCAGTTCGCAACTTTGTGCTACGATGTGTATTACTAGCTCAGCAGATTGCCTTGTGGTTATGTAGAATGTAAGGAACCCATGAGCAGAAAACTGCACAGAATGGGGCTGAGGAAATCCTCCTTGGACGCCGATGGGTTGTCATTTGAACAATGGGTTGTCATTTGAACGATGCAATATTCCCGAAGCTCAATACAACCATCTCCCCGAGCGTTTTCCCTTTTGAAGAAGAATATTCACATCGCAACCAACTACACCTCAAGACACAAGCATCAACAAATGTAGCAGAGAAACATCAATTGCAACCACAGATTCAAAGACACTAATGGAATATTCTCAACATAAACATGCTCTGCAAATCGCAACTCAAAATGGAAGACAAGTTTTATATCCAGAAAATCTTCATAGCTCCTTTCGGCCTTTTTGCTTGAAAAGTTTTTGTCAGCTTTGATAAATATATCCAGAAAATCTTCATAGCTCCTTTCGGCCTTTTTGCTTGAAAAGTTTTTGTCAGCTTTGATAAAATTAATGTTATCCCGTCATGAGTGGTTACAAAAAGAAGATTCCTCTAACAAAACAAATAGGAGATAGTGATACATTTCAGATACAACCAACAGAGCTACAAATATTTGTTCCTTACAGAAAAAAAATATAGTAAGCATCATCTTAGCTCTCTTTTGATCGGATGATGGAAATGAAGGAATATTCAAACTCAGACATTGGATGTCACGGTAAGTTATACATTTGCATTTTTGCACACATGTTACTGCCAGATACTCACACACCAACATGCTTCCGTGTGTGGATGCACGCACACAATCGCGGCCCTATCCTAAGCATTCAGGGCGCATTAATTGTATATTGGTCCTCCATGGAAGATGAAATGTGACTAAATTGTAATATAGGCCGGGCGTCTTGTAACCGAGCTCCCTTGATTTTGGACTTTGACGCTGACATTCTGTGAGGACACAGTGTACATACAACTTTTACTGTTCCCGTTGTATTTGACATCTCACCTTCCTTTTCCAGGTTTCTTTCTTTTGGTGGTGCAGTGCCATACAGACCAGTTGAAGACCTTGCATTTGCTGTTGCCCGATTTTTCGAGCGTGGGGGTACTTTCCACTAGTGCGCAAAAATCCACAGTCAGCTCCAAATATACATGTCCTTCTGCTATCAAGGAATTTTAATTAAACTTCATTTTTGGGGCTTGATGGGGATCTTTACCTGCAGCGCCGATTCCCTATTTTTGGGGCTTGAGGGAGATCGAGAGAGGTCGGCGGAGTTGGGGGCCGTCGGTGGAGTTGGGGGAAGTCGGAGTTGGGGGAGATCGAGAGCCATCGACGGAGTTAGGGGAGATCGAGAGCCGACGGCGGAGTTGGGGGAGCTCGAGAGAGAGCTCGAGGGAGATCAAGCAGCGGAGATCCTGGAAGTCGTTTGTCGGCAGAGTTGGGGAACGTCGGCGGAAGTCGGCGGAGTTGGGGGAGCTCGAGAGAGAGAGAGATCGAACGAGAGAGGGATCCAGGGATTTTTTGAGCTCGATGGAGGAGGAGGGGTTGGAGAATTTGGGTTTTTTTTAGGCAGAGAGAGAGAGAGAGAGTTTTTTAGGGAGAGAGAGAGAGAGAAAGAACGTGGTCACGAGCTGCTAAGGGGCTGTTTGGTTCGTTTCCTAGATATAGGGAAATGTAATTCCAAGTAAAGAAACCAATGTTTTTAGTTTTCCAAACTTTTCCAAGAAATAGTTTGTTTTGGTTTGGTTCGCACAAAAAAAGGTGAGAAACCAATGTTTTTACTTTTCTTGTGTTTGGTTTGCAAACATGAACTGCGTACCTGATTTGACATGATATACCTGTTTGAGATGAAAATAATCACACAAAACCTGTTTTCGAAGAAAAAATAAACAAGACCTGTAATAACCTGATTATTCATAAATTTATGAAATACGTACCTGAATTAGCCAAAAAAATTTCTGAAACCTATAAAAACATATAAACGGCCTGAATAGCCATATTTTAGTACATAACATAGCAAATAGCCATCCAGTATATGTGAATTATGACTGTGGGCTCAGAACTTGTTCAATATCATCATCGTTAGCCATCCGGTGCAATATCAATAGATATTGCAGGTTGCTAATCTCAGAAAAATTAACAATCATCATAGCCTAAATTGAACACCCACAAACAGTATCAAAATCAACAAATAGTACGGAAAATCTGAGCACACATAGAACTCCACAAAACATTAGCTCAAATAGAAGATGAACAACAGAGCATCCACAAACAGTGAGCTCACAAAACTGGTGTGCACAAAACTGGAAGTTGTCACAAACCTGGACACAACAACAAACTAACCAACAACCAGCAACAACAAGAAACATTCAGGCCCAACAACCAAACGACACAACAACACAACTCTGGACACAACAACAACAACTGAAGGAACAACCAGCAAACTAACCAACAACCAGCAACAACAAGAAACATTCAGGCCCAACAACCAAACGACACAACAACACAACTCTGGACACAACAACAACAACTGAAGGAACAACCAGCAAACTAACCAACAACCAGCAACAACAAGAAACATTCAGGCCCAACAACCAAACTAACCAGCAACCAGCAACAACAAGAAACCACCAACCAGCAACCGGCAAAAACCAGCAACAACCAAACTAACCAGCAACAACCAAATCAGAAGAACCAGCAACCAGCAACAACAACAACTACCAACATAGACTGAGCACATGTTGTGTTTAGCTTAGGGCTCAGAACTTGGTCAATATCATCATTGTTAGCCATCCAATGCAATATCAATAGATATTACAGGTTGCTAATCTCAGAAAAATTGACAATCATCATAGCCTAAAAATAAAAAAATCACCAATGAAAACCAAATACCTAAATGCCCCAGAGCAATAGCCATCCAGTACAATGTGTACACATTGTAGGTTGCTTGCATCTTAGGAAATATCCTGCATTCACAAATTCAATTACAAAAGTTAGTATTCCACAAAATGATATTAATCATGGAAGATAAATATTACAAAATGGAAGCAAATAAATACTTACTACATATTACAACAATATGTTCCATCATCATAATGTTCCACAAACACAATAAAAACATTATCACCAAAAGTAAGTGGATTTCACAAGTATGTTAGAAATGAGAATCACAAAATACCACGTAGAGACTTCTTCTATCGGTCTTCAACCCCCTTCGTTGAGAAAGGTAGCAATCATCTCTTTTTGACCAACCGATGATATGCCCATAAATAGTCTTGCTTCATGCTCATTCAAATATAAGTGTCGGTAGTATGTATCTAGCTTTTCAACACTAAAATCTTGTAAATGAGCATATATGACCGTGGATAACTTCTCGGTCCAATGCATATTTACACACTTCATGTTTGCGCTAAATACATCTATCTTATCCACCATTTTTAACATGAGCTCATCTTCTAGGTTGTTCCTACGAGCCTTTCCCTTAGCAACACATACCTTTGCTTTAGAACTTGATATGGCGGGTGTTTCCTTAGGCGGAGGAGTGTCCTCTTCATCTAAAATGTGTACTTAAGATTACCCCCCACTATAATTGCTTGTAAAACCTTGTTGAAATATCTACTGACTGTCTCCCCTGATCTTATGAAATGAGATCTCACAATGCGATTTTTAGATTTATGACCCAAAATATTTAGTGTCATGATAAGTTGTTCTTCCACTGATATATTCCTTGAGTCTTTTAGAAGCATATTGTTCCTCATTATACTTACTAGCTTAACAAAAGCACCACTCCGCATTCTAATATAATTCACACAACTATCACTAAAACCATTATAAATACGCTCTATATGTTCAATTCTAGACCTCTCTTGTCTTTTTTTTTCCTCACTTGGACCACGACGTATAGATTTACGTCTAGCTTGCATTCTCCTTATGAATGTAATTATTATAACAAGAACATATAGTGCTGCACCTTGAACCACATTAACAACACTTTGTTCATCGGTACAATCCCCATCACCATCCATCTACGATGCAAAAATCAAATTGAAATAATTAATATACCTACCAAGCATTCATATGCAATGTCAATAATCAAAACTTAAATGACACATAACAAGATCTAAAGTTAATTTTCAGTTAATATTTCATCAATATTTTCAGTTTCTTTTACGACCATTCAAGATAATTGTCAGTTCATTTCTGTTCTCTTTTCAATTATATTTATAATAATTAATATAATTTTTACTTAATTATAATAATATTTGAAGGAATATTTTTAGTTAATTACAATTATATTTTTAGATAAATTTCTGTTAATTTCTAGATAACTATAGAAAATGCAAAATTTCATCCTAATAATTCAAATCATAACAAAATTTTTAACAAATCAATTCTGAGTTGAGAATCATACCTTAGGTCTGAAATCAGTTTCCAGGAAGATCAAAGTCGGCAAAAAATCCCAAATTTTTTCTAATAAAGGCGCTGATAAAATCCAGCAAGCCACGAAATCCAGCAAAAAATTGATTCTACTAGATAGATGTTAATTGTGATGGTGAAACATGTTATTGTACGGTGTGGTGCATGGCAGGTTTGACATTCTTGGTTTCACCTTGGACTGCAGCCTTGCGTGAACCCAGGGGCGTCACAGTTGGTATCAGAGCGCTAGTTCCAGTATCCTTAGGATCATCCTGTGTCGAGTCGTGGAGCTAGGATAGAGTTTCTTAGGATTCATGTATAGAGTCCGTAAGGATTTTCTAGTATGAGTGAGGACGATATATGCGTATATCTCAAAAATTGAGGATATTTTTTTTACAACTATTTTATTTTAATTGAAAGTATTTGTGTGAATACTATGTGTTATGAATTCGTATGGTGTATATATATATATATATTTGCTATCTCACTTACTGTGAAAAATTAAGCTCTCCTCTTGATATTATAAATATCAAACGAGGATATGGTCGAGGTAAAACTCATACCTGAAGAGCTAGGCATGCAGAGCCGAGCCACAGCAGGATCCACAGTATTTGATCGAATCCATGGTGCCGTTAGCAGCAAGATCTTACCACACTTGAGGAGCAAGAGGTGCATCCGTTTCCATCAGCAATACCATTTTCAAGAGATTCACCACCGGTTGTACCCGTCGTGGAAGTAAAGAGGCAATACCAATGAGTACACCACCACCACAATCAGCTATTGATAGAACCGCAGAGCAGTAGGTTTAACTCTGAAAGAATAAGAAAAATATCAGACAATGAGAGCACCAGAGTTTCAAGACACACCAGTTTTAATTTCAACCTATAAGGGAAGAAGTATGTGAAAATTTCTTGAACATCCACTTAATTCCAAGCAGAAGGTTAGATGTATTCAACATTGAGGACATTGCTGGAGGATAGCAACGATATCCAGATTTTTGATAGGGCAGAAATTATCACCTATTTGGGAGAATTTTAGTCACTACTTCAACAAGCAGTTAGAGCTAGTCTAAGTTTATCACCTATTTGGGAGAATTTTAGTCACTACTTCAACAAGCAGTTAGAGCTAGTCTAAGTGAAGCAGGGAGATATACCCAACAAGCAGTTAGAGCTAGTCTAAGTGAAGCAGGGAGATATACCCATAGTAAGGGAAGAAATAAAAATAAGAATAGTGACAATGTCAATGGCAAGAAAACTATTATGAAATTTAGAGAAACCTAGCATCGGGAGAATGATTCTACCCCAGCAACAAAGACAATATAAAAAATAAACACCATATGATTTGAGAGCGCTGAAGTAGCACAGAGTTCGGAGAACATGTTACAATCACAACAAGATCGAACAAAGAGCAAAAGAATTATCGCAGTATCCCAGCAGGGAGCCAGCAATATAGAGATCATGGTCGACATTCTCAGAGTCGTAATTTCGGCCAGCAGTGGGGATATAGAGGCACTACCTGTTAATCCGAGGATTTAGAGGCCAACAGGCCGGATTTGCATTATTCAGGAGATTCCTGAAGGACAGATGGTCCCATATTTGTTGCACCACTAGCGGAGTTTATTCAGCAGTACCGCGTGATCATGGTACTAGCAGAGCTTTCTTCGTGATTTCCTTTTCATCTCGGATCTAGTTTGGTTTAAGAAATTTGCTTATCTCTTATCTTTCATACCTTCGCTGATAGGTTTCAGCTTGTAGCATATTCCTTAGATTTTCAATTGTCAGTCTCTACTCCTCTAGATGGAGTGTCCCTTCTATCTATAGGAGATGTGTCATCAGACTAGATGAGTCTGAGTTAGTCATCAAGTTGATCGTGTTGATGATGTTAAATTTCGACATTCATTCTTGGTATACATTAGCTATCATCATACCATATTAGTATCGATTGTTTTACTGAAACAGTCAGCTTGTGAGCATTCATTGGATTTGTATAGATAGTAGTAACCTCACAGGGTGACCGAAATGTGGGTCATTTCTGGTATACGTCGAGTAGGTGATGCTGAGGGACCGAAGTGCTGATTTGTGTGAGACCGGAGTTGTCTCAGAGTATCAGGATGTCTTTCAGGATATGCCTAGATTTTCTTTCAGGACATGCCTAGATTTTCTCCAGTGAGAGAGGTTATTTCC